TTAATCATTTCTGGGCTAGCCCATACTACGCAGGGCGTCAAACCGTGACGTCACCTGATATGCCAGCTTGCAGCTGACTATAACGTTAGCCAAAACATGAGGAAAAGTCAAGGTGTGTGGCTGTTGTTTTCGTGGTGTGTATCTAAAACAATTTGACATAACCTTACACATTAAGACAAATATTAAGACTAGCATTACAGTTGACACTAACAGCTCTTTACCTGCAACCTTGGCCTACTTGCAGTCTGCACTGCAAGCACATTACTGAACAGTCAACAGCCTGAGCTAGTCAATCTGTCTCCACTAAACATTTCTAGACAACAAATCTCTGAATATCTATCTAACTAGGAAATAACCTAACACTAATGTTAGCTAACAGCTGATTGTCTTAGCCGAGCTTAGCGATATAACGATAAAGGGGTTTCACTTTTCTAATAACGAAAATATAAGCTAATGTTAATGTAACAGTTGGTTTGTAGATGGATTTTGGTCCAGATGTGCTGCACCTGTTTTCCAGAAGACCAGTGGTCAAACAGTCAACCGGCTACATCACCTGGCATCCCAACAAACAAACGTAAACCAGGATCTGCTGGAGTACAGCGTGTGAACACTGTTGCTGCCTCAGGTAACTGTAAACAAGAAATAGATTCATCAAAATAATCAATTTTTTTATGCCATCTAAAAATGTAATAATCAAAACATTTGTGTGTGTCTGTAGCCATGGAGGTGACGGAGGAGGAGCGGCGACAGGTGGAGGAGCAGGTGGAGCAGCTACTGAGTGGTAAGGGGTCAGAGGTCACCGGGTGTGACGTGGGACTGGAGCAGAGCAAGCCGGCAACTTTGAAGAAGAATGTTACCTACATCGTCTGCGCCGTCATCTTCAATGACAAGGTAGCGCGTCTCACCTGTGGGGTCTTCACAGCTGCGGAAAACTCCGGCTTCTATCTTTTTATACAGAGGTTTATGTATACAACATCTACGACTGCACATTTAGTCACACTACAACTGACACAACTCACCTTAAGTTGATCAGTTATCATTTCACTCTTTCTTTTGGAGGGCCTCTCAGATTTAGGATGTCAACCAATGTATCAGTCTATCTGCTGATTATTCATAGTTTGCTCTATAAAATAAGGTGCTGTCTTATTCTGTCTGAGCAACAGTCCAAAACTTCCAAATCAAGTTTACTACCAAAGAAAGAGGCAAAGAAAAGCAGAACATTCTCACATTTGAGCGTTGGGAATGTTAATAAATTACCACTAATTCATTCTAAAAACAACTGCCAATTGTTAATAGACACGTGTTTTGATGCATTTTAGACACGCCAGATGTTTGGTCATTTTTCTTCACTTTTCCATCAGTGGAAACACTTGTAGTAAGTTTTTCTCTGTGTGTGTGTGTGTGTGTGTGTGTGTGTGTGTGTGTGCGCACACTCCATCAGGAGGAGGTACTGATGGTGCAGGAGGCAAAGCAGGACTGTTATAAACAGTGGTACCTTCCTGCAGGGAGGATGGAGGTGGGGGAGAGCCTGGAGGAGGCGCTGAGGAGGGAGGTGAGACACACATGTTGGTGTGAGGACCTTCAATGACATAATGCATCACCTAGCCCCTAATCTTAAACCTAGCCCTTAACCTGGACCCTCAAACAGCCCATTGAAGGTGTGAGGAGCAGACATGTCCTCACAACCACAGTTTAAAAGTCAAATGTGTCCACACAGCCAGAGAAAGACATGTACACACACACACTTGCGTTAATGCTCCATTTGTCTGCAGGTGAAGGAGGAGGCGGGATTTGACTGTGAACCAATCACCTTGCTGCTGATCCAGGAACAAGGACCACGCTGGATCCGCTTCATCTTCCTGGCCAAAGTCACAGGTCAGAGGTCATGCAGTATGAGAGGCTAGTAGAGTAGTGCCAACAGATCAGAGACCAGTGACTATGCACAGGTTCTCAGCCTGTAGAGTTGTTTGCTGGAAACAGATACCTCCCATGTTTCTTGAGGAGGAAACCTGCCCCCCAGTGTAGCGTTCTGGGTGTGTGTGTGTGTGGTGGAGGACAACAGTGGACTCACACATATCACAGTGAGGACACCACCATGTTCACTGGTGCTACTGATCTTTGGACAGGGTTGGTGGGGAGTAACAACAACAACAGAGAAAATCACCAGCTGCATTCTTTGAAATTTACATAGAGCACCTGAACTCAGTCTCTGTGAGGTTAGACAGTACCCTGTGAAGAGGAAGACCAGGTTCAGGGCAGCCTTCACGAGGACTTAAAGTGGATGTTTTAATGAACGGGCCCAACCTCCTCTTCCTGTCTCTCTGTGTCAGGTGGGACTATAAAGGACCTGTCAGCAGCAGATCAGGAGTCTCTCCAGGCCTCGTGGTGGGACAGGCAGTCTGTCCTCCCTCTAAGAGGACGAGACATCCTCCGCCTCATTGACTGTGGACTCAAGTACGAGTTTAAACTTTCGGTTTTTGTGCTAAGCTAGACTAAACATCTTCTGGACCCACCTCTGGACTGGACAGAAGCAGAGAAGTAGAGGATTTAACTAAACCTCACTCAGTTCCTGTGCTGTCCCAAAATCATGTTATTTTTATTAGCTGCCCTACATAAAGTGAAGCTCCTGGTTCTTGTAATAATGACAAAAATCTCAGTTTTCTGAAAATTACAGCATAAATAGATTTTATTTAGCCTACCAGCCGTCCCTGGTGGGCTAGTGGTTAAGGTGCAGCGCTCTCACTGCTGCGGCCCGGGTTCGAGTCAGGGTTGCGTCAGGAAGGGCATCCGGCGTAAAACACGTGCCAAAGGTCAACATGCGAGTCGTCAGTGTGACGATTCGCTGTGGCGACCCCTAAACAGGAAAAGCCGAAAGTCACTATCTTACAGCATAAATAGGTTTTGCTGAAGACTTTGCTTAGATGTTATTAAGATTAGGGTTGGTTTTGTTTTCCAAATAATTTAATGAGAAACTATCTGAATTTCTTGGTATAGTTCTTTGAATGCTGCTTTCAGGTACCGTCAGGATCCCTGCCACCCGGTCACACTACCTGTTGACATGAGCTGCCGTCTTGTGGTGCAGAGACTCGTCCTGGTCTTCACCAACGCTGAGGAGCAGATCTGGATCCTGCTCGTCAAAGGTACAAAACAACACTGGATTAAGATGAAGGTTCATTCTTGACCTTGGAAACAGCAAAATCACAGGAAGTTCATGTCAACCTGGAGCTTCCAGCCTTAGTAGATGGAGGTGTTCAGTAACCTCACACTGGCTAACCACCGCCCGTTTTTTTGCAGCTCCGGGGCTCCACCTCCCTACAGTGGCGGCAGTGAAGACCCACGCAGTGACCTGGGCAGCTAACATGGTGGTGCAGGAAGCCATGCCGTCGGCGTACTACGACCACGACGTAAACACGCTGGGCGTCTTCAGCCTGCAACACAATGGCCGGCAGCACGGGAAGACGGATGGCGTGTGCTTCAACACACTGGTGGTGCTGGCACCTGACCACGTCCATCGCAACGAGGATGGAGAGAAGTTGGAGTGCACGGTGACAGGGCGGCCTCCAGCTGTAGAAAACCCTCGCTACGTCTGGTATGAAGTCCAGAAACAGACACTAAGGGAACAACTGTTGGAAAAGACCAGAAGCACCTCGATCTTACCCATCCACAGCCTGTACTGAGCCAGGGAAGGGGGTAAATCATACACTCAGTGGTCAGTTTATTAGGAACCCCTGTGTCAGACTGAGTCAGTTTGACCCACAGTGCTGCAGTAAACCCTTTTCCTTGAAGATGATGATATTCAGACTGTTGCTGGTTTAGACTGTTGCTGGTTCACCTGTGCGCTCACTGTGGAGGCTGCAGGCTGTGCTGCTGTTCACCTGGACTGGGTTACACTGAGAGCTGGCTCTGCTGTTTGTACATTGGTAGACGGGTATTAAACAGGACTCTTATTGTGAAAACAACACTCCAAAACTGTTGACTTTTAGAAAGGGGTTTTTCTTCTGAAAGAACAGGTCTAATTTGATTTAGCTGTGTGATAGTGTTAAGACTTTAAATATGACCAGAACAATAATTTGATTTTATGAGAAAGAAGCTTAATACTGCAGCACTTAAGGGAATGCAGATGACCAGATGGATCGTGACCTCGGCACGGGGTTAGCCTAGCTTAGCAGAGGGAAGCAGCTAGTCTGGCTCTGTCCACAGGTGACAGAATCCACCTGCCACCACCTCTGAAGGTCACTGATTAACACAGGGTCTTCTGTTTGTTTACACAGAGAAGGACATAGTTGTTCCTGGGGAGCTTTGTGCTGGAGCTCTCTCTTACTGAACAACACAGGGGCTGCGTCCGAAACCGCCTACTACCATACTGTATAGTAGCCGAAAAGCAGTAGGCGAGGCGAGTAGTATGTCCGGATTCGTAGTATTCCAAAAACAGTAGGCGAAAAGTACCCGGATGACCTACTGCTTCCGGTTGGATTTTGCAGTGTGCATATGATGGACACTTCACTATCCCATGATGCCCCGGGAGAGGAGTTATCCAACGTATGTCACGTGATGTATCAACATGGCGGATGTAGTACGTCCGAATCTCATTCATACTACCAGGCTTCATACTATACAGTACCTACTGTTTTAACGGTCAGTAAGTAGGTACTTCATCTCTTTCAGTACGTACTGTCACAGTATGCGGTTTCAGACGCAGCCAGTGACTGTGTGCAGCTATCCTGAGGTCATGACCCCAGGCAGTATTGGCATGCGAAAGACCTAAAGATGTTTCCACACAAAAAGCAAAGTGGAGTTCATTTGCATAGGCACTTGTACTAAAGTATTTCCTATAAACTTCTCATTTAATGTTTCAATCTTTCACAAAAAACTAACTTTAGACAAGAACTGATAACAGAAGTTTGTCATTGCTCCTCTCCATGAATCATATGACGACCCCTCAGACTACTCTGGTGACCCTTTAGAGGGGCCCGACCCCACTGGAACAGTCTACCTAACATCAACAGAAGTAAGATTTATCTCCATCAGCCAACTCATATTCCCGCAGTGGGAATTCACTTAAGTTCAGCTTTTGGTACTTTGTCAGTTGCAGTTAGTAACTACTTTTCCTACCAGATTTTACACACCCTACCATATGATGCATTGCTTTGCTGTTAATTAAAATATCAAACATGAACCTGATAAGGAAAAAGAATCACTTTATTGCTCTAAACAGCAGGATGACGAAGATGAGTGTGTGCTCAGTCTTTGTCCAGGTTTCCTCACTCATGTCTGGTCAGCTGCCTTCATCTTCCCGACAAAGCTGTCGTTGAGCTTCTTCAGGTGTCTGGTTCGGTTCTCCAGACGGACCAGCCACTCGGCTCTCAGCCTGAAAGCACATAGAGAAGTTTAAGTTGTTGTTGTTCAGGTAGCACAGACTCAGTGTGCAGTCGGTGCTCTGCAGCCTGAAGAGACAAAGCAAGTAAGTGAAAGGAAACTTGGTCAGAGTTGTGCTTCTCCACATATCTGGGAGCAGGAACTGCAAAGAACTTGTGTTTTTGTACATCACTAAGACTGAAGGCTGTTAGAGGTCCTGTGCAGCTGGCTGACTATGCACAGCGATGCCGTTCTCAGCCTGTGGGGCTGGTTGTTGGAAAAAGACGGCCTCCCGTTGCAACATATTTCTATGTTGAAAGTCACAGATTTGATTTGATTTTGATTTGATTTATTCTTTCAAGCATATAAAAACAGTTGATATAACAACACACATTTTTTACACACAATCCAATATCAATGTGCTTATACCTAGTACATGCTTGAATGGAGTAGGAAGAAGTCAGACTTATCCAGTCCTACCCCATGACATCATCTTACCATCATTGGTTTGCAAGCAGTAAATGATTCACTTCTACACACACACA